CCAACAAACGCTCGTGGCAGAGAGGCGAGAGATGCTGCACAAGTAGCAAATAAATCTGCCATGGCAACGCAATATAACTATTTGCCATCCCCGGACAACTTCATTCTGCCACTCGAAGGTTTGTCCAACGTGACATCCAATGGAGTGTCCTCTCTGCCGATGCAGAGTTTTCCTTACTCCTATCTGGCGGAGCAGACTGACTTCCTGGACTTCCAAAAGCAGATGTGGTACCCCAATTCTAGGCAATTGACTGGCAATTGTTCTGCTCAGCAGATGTCTGACAATCTCGGCAATCACCAGGCGATTTGCCTCGACGACCAGCTGGCAAGGTTCCCTACCACCGGACTGGAATGGGGATATGGCCATGGCCATCCATCAGTTGACGCCCATGGCCATCCATCATTTGACAACTCTTCCGCTGAACAGGAATATGATGGCCTGGTAGCACAGCAGCGATGGAGCTACGCTTCTGCTCAACAGCCACAGGGTTACATTCCTGCTGAGCAGATATCGGCCATCTCCACTATTCAACAACCACGAATTTGCGCTGATTACCAGCAGCCTAGGCACCGCATTCCGTTTCACTTCGTGCCCTATAAAGCCTCGCGCCACCAGAACTATCGAAGAGGGGTCCCAAAAAAGGAGCAGGATGAAAACAATACACGCGCGGAGCAAGCATGGGACCTGTACCACACCGCAGCGCAGACGCAGACATTCTGCCGCATCTGCGGTGGGCAGCTTGTTCATCTAGGTGGAGACTGTAGTCGCCGTAGGACGGTATAAGTAGGGTCAGAGTCTGTCGAGCAAAAGCTGTCACTTGGTAGATCAGGCTGAACAAATGTATCCCTTGAGCATCAACAGACTATCGAGGTGGATGAAGTGGTCGTCTAGGCGATTTGGCAGGCTCTACTAGCGATCTGGCTCTTGCTAAGCATCGAAATGCAATCCACGTGCATGGACAAGCACACTCACAGGTCCAAGAGCGGATTTTGACCCCACAACCGTGTTTGATGGTATGTTCACCGCTTTGATTGAAATCACCGAGCTATGCCTCCCGGAAATGATAGCTGTAGCCAACCTGGTCGTGACACTTCTTATGAAGCTTCTTGTCCTACTGCCTATCAGCCCATACCCCACCACGAGAAGCACAGCAGTTCATCTGGATGTATGCTCAACTAGTAGCACAACAGTTGGTCCGCCTGCAGGTCCCGCGAGAAGCGTAAAGACTCGTCTGCTTATACGCGGCACGAAGATCACAACGACATCTGCGCCAGTATGCATCGCAAGAACTCCGACCACGTATCAGGCAGCACTTCGCGTTACGGACACGACGACAAACGTTCTGCAATCCATGAGCTTCTATGCAACATGAGAGCATGCTACACGTCTGCCTACGTGAATTATGAAGGTCATAACAAATTTCTAACTTGTCCGCACCACAAATGGCTCGATCATTTCCTGACCACTTCAGGTTCCAGCCCTAAGGGCCAACGATACGCTGGCTTGTCAACCTACATGCATTGCAAGAGGCTCAACGACCAGCAAGGCACTTCACGTCACGAACACAAGGGCGGACAGCATGTTGATTCGTTTAACAGTTTGCACCCAAGGTGGAACGTCAATCCGCCTTTCGATACAACGTCTATCCTCCTTCCTATCCTCCTTCTGACACACTCACGATCCGCTTGGCTAATGCACCTCCAAGTACGTCTGTCCCCGGTTCCCATCCCACTTCCAACTTACCTTGCAAGACTTCGCAGTGATAGCTGGGAGTCGCTTCGATATCCCCAGCTAGTTGGAAAATGCCGCTCCCAATCATCAATCGATCAGGGGCGATACGGACAGGAAGCAGGCAGCCGACAGGCGCGGACCGAGGAAGTCACAACGACAGCCCGAAAGAGTGGAGCACTGAGCAGGTCGAAAATTCGGAACAATCGCACAAGACAGCAGAGAAAACACCGGGAGATATGGTATGAGTGTGCAACAGGCGATTGATGTTCTGATAGCAGCGTCTATGACACCCGCCCGACCGCACTCAGTATCTCAAGGCTGAGCAAGAGGAAGATCAAATCACTGGGGCTCATCAGGTCTGGCGATATGCGTCCATTGGCTCTTACAATGTTACACTGACGGTGTATGAGACTCCTGGGAAGAAGTACTGGATCTCCCATTCCGCTGCGAGGCTTGGCATCGGTCGAACGAGGAAACAACGAGACCCGAGGCTTGCTGACTACGAGTCACACCGAAACCGCAAATTTACCCCCCTCTCACCGTGCGCTCCCTGCGATCTCGGAGTCGTTTATCCAAACACGCCAACCAGGGTCAAGAAATGGCCTCAGCCTGGCCAACTACTCCCGGTCAACCGAGCTCGGCGACCAGCGTCCTGGGCAGTCCTCAGACGTCAACTAATCCGCGCAAGCGAAAGAAGAGTAATGGCGTCGATGAGGGCAGCGACGATGGCGACCAACCCGGATCTGGTTCGAAGGGCCGCAATCAAGGCGTGAAGAGAGCGTGCAACGAATGCCGCCAGCAAAAGGTACAAGCAGACCAAGCGCAAGGCATACCTCCGTAGCGGTCACCTACGCATCTCCTGTTAGACCTGAACGATTGCTAATGCGTGATAGCTCCGCTGCGATGTGGCGACCGAGCCGCAATTCAAGCCGTGCAGTCGCTGCACGAAGCACAAGTTGTCGTGCGCAATAGACCCGGGCTTCAAGAGGCAGGAAAAGCGCCAACAGTATGCGGAATTGGAGCGAGAGCTCGCGGCTTTGAGAGCAGAAAATGCAGAACTCAAAGCAGGATTCCCTCAAGGACTTACTCCAGTCATGGCACCTAACAGACCCCCGATCATGCCATATCCACAGAATGTCTCGGCCGGGGCAACGTACGGAGCATCAAATGAGGCAGCGGCGTCGCGCTCGCTGCTCGATCTGGCATCAGGCTTCGACAGCTCTTTGATCGCAAGCGCTAGGGCGCCGAGTGCTAACACTCTAGCCAAGGTGACCCTTCAGGACGATCAGATTGGCGAGCTGTTCGACATTTTCTTCGCCCACTACCATCCTTATCTGCCATTGTTGTCACCAGACACTCCCCCAGCAGGCTATTTTGACCTGAGTCCTCTCTTGTATTGGACGATCATCACCGTGGCCTCGAGAAGGTACGAACCAAGACGAGCACTTCTCAGCGAACTAAAGCCACCACTTCATGAGCTGCTTTGGGACACTGTGGGCTCGGTGCCACAGACATACCATGCGGTCAAGGCCTTGTGCCTGCTCTGCGCATGGCCGCTTCCTACCAGTTCAACCTCGCTAGATCCAAGCATGATCATTTGCGGAACGATGGTTCAATCAGCCATGCAATTTGGTCTTCACAGGCCCTCACATGCTCAAGACTTCTCCCGCATCAAGCTGGAGCTTCGCGAGGAAGACATCAAGGACCGGATGAACACATGGGTTGCTGTGAACATATGCGCGCAGAACGTGTCCACAGGCTACGGAATGCCGCAAATATCCAGATGGAATTGGTTCACTCACGGACAGCATCTTGACCGCATTTCACCGCTTCTCAAGACTCGGTGCCTGATAGAGCGATTCGTTGATAAGGTTACGAGGACATTGTACACAATGCAAAGAGACCTCAATTTGGCAGCAGACGAGACGGCCCGTGCGCTGACAATAGACATGTTCTCTCGAGAGTATGAGGAGCTTGAGAGCAGCATCAAGCAAAGCAATCCCCTTCGTAAGTGGTCTTGAGCCCAAGCTTGAGGTCGTCCCGATTGACTATTGTTAGCCATCGACTATCTGTACCTGCATGCTGCCGCTTTACACTTGCGACTGACAGCGTTCTTCGACTCGCCCTCGGTGCCAACGTATCGGGCAGATCTCTCCGCACTTTGGGTGGCCGCAACCACACTACTCAAAACATTCCTCGCCCTGCCAAGCAGCACCGACGTTAAAAATTCCAACGCACCACGGAGCCTGTCGGAGCCTCCAGCCAGCCCGTGCGCCACTAGCCACATCATGCAATTGGTTCTCGCTGCGGGCTTCACACTTATGAAATTGCTAAACTCTTTCTTCGCCGCTCAGGTCGATACCGTTTCGGGACGAACGATTTTCCTCCAGACGGTCACAGCCCTGCGCAATATCAGTGTGGTGCAGAACGATCTGCCTCAGCGACTGGCCGAAGTGTTGGCTCAGCTTTGGCAAGCAAGTGGGGCGGGAGGGCAGCGACTATTCGACGAAAATGGCACAAAGCGTGACGTCGATGACAGCCTCCAGATCAAAGTACGGTGCCGCATGAGCATGAGTCTGGTGTATGACAGTATCTGGCGTTGGAAGGAGAGATTCGGGGCTGTGCGCAACCTCGACCGCATGGTGGAACACCCGACGCAGCCGGATGACCCTCCTCCAAGCAACGGACATGATCCCCTCAGCACTGTTGTGGATCATCTACCTATCGCGAGTTCGGTTGCAGAGGCAGAGCTGGGACTCGCTGGCTGGGACGATTCATTCGGAGCCAATGCACCATTTGATTCTCTGGGGTGGGCACTTGATGGGTTCCTGGAGATGCCGATGGGCAACGAGCAGAGCTTCATGTAGTTTGGATGTGTGATGGTTTGACTCAACGTAGTCATGTTGGTGGTATGCGTTTCCACAACAGCTATTAGAGCGTCTGGAGAGACGAGTGTCTTGTTTCGAGGGTCGGGTAATGTCAATGTGCAGTTAAATGATACCAATCGAATTTGTCTTTCAATGTGCATATCTCATCCGGATAATACTGCTTTCCACGTGACTAGATGTGACTGGGCTCACAAACAACCACACCACTGGGTCTCCTTTCTCGTGAGGGTCAAGGTCACGGTCTGGTAGGCAAAGCCACGGCCAAAACGTATCGAGAATCAAGATTCACGAGCCTACACATCAGCCCCAGGCAAACTCTGATCGAGTGCTGTAGATGCACAAAAAGTATATCACTTTACTGACGCCGAAAATCAAAAAGGATGGTCACTACGAGGGTCGAACTCGCGACCTTGGCGTTGTCTGGATTGATATCCATATTAGCTAGGAGACTGTTAGAATCGAACCGTGGAAGACGGGATTGAGGTGCACGAACCACCACGCTCTAACCAACTGAGCTAAGCGACCGAAATCCATGGTAGATTGTGGCGTTGGGAGGTCTAACATGTCAATATAGGCTCGTCTTGGAATATGGGGCGCGTGGGCGTGGGTATCGAGCTCAATTTTTGAAGGTCACCGCTTTTCTTTTGCCGAAACGAGTGCCCAGATTTGATTGGCAGGCCGAAGCCGCCGCAGCCAGCGGGCTCGCGGACCGACAGCCGGGGGCGTGCCTGTTTGACAAGTGTGGGTCAGTGGCATGTCATCGGGACCGGCTGAAAGCTTCTGCAGGCGCTGGTCGCATCGAAAGTCCACTCTGCCAACGCAACACCCAGGCGTAACTTACAACTCGTACACCTGCCCTTCGCTCGCGCCAACATCCTCCTTTTGACTCTTCGGACCCTCGAGCGGATCATGCCATCTCCATCCTCGCAACTTGAGTCTTCTGTCAGGTTGATTCCACCGACGCGATCCTCTCGCTTTCTGCGTCCAGCCTCGCGCTAGAGCTACGACACATCCCACAACGGTCGCCTGGTCACGCTGAAGCTCCTTCTCTGCCGCGTCGCATCCACCACAATTTCCTGCGCCGAATCCTTCTCAGTTCCCTGACGATATCCACGGGCGCTACGAGGAACGACACTCACGACTGATATAACTCATGTTTCCTCGGTCGCACAAGCTTTCCATCCAGTGCTGAAAGCTACTGTTATGGTTGCCCCGGCCCAAGCGGCGGCCCGCGGTACTTTGTCGCATATCGCGCATTTGGACTTGCACCCAGCCCCTCATTCGGCGCAAAAACAAAAGTGCTCTATGGAGCTTGAGCAAGACAGGATACATGTCATGGCCGGTCATGGAACAACAAATACAACGGATGCTCCCGAGTCTTTTGCATATCGACACGGCAAATTCCCCGACGGTCCTCTAACATCCCACTCTCTGCAGTCTATAAGAAGCGGTTTACCTCCTACGCCTCCTCAACAGAACGGCGAAGAGACGGACGAACCACTTATGAGTCCCTCGGTTCTTTCCGACATCTATCAAAGCGCTGTCACCTCCCCCGCCATGCTGGTCAGCACTCCGATTCATCTAACAAGTCCGCCAACCCCAGACACCACCCCACCATCCAGGCGGGAACGCCTGCGCGTACCGAGAAACGATCTGACTCACTATCCGTCACTATCGCAAGCAGACTCCTTTGTCACCGCGAGGGAAACTATGCACAGTCAATCCTCTAATCGCAGCCAAGTTCTGCGAGCTGGGAGTGACGGAGATACCCTTCCTAGGTCCTCCCGCCAACCAAGCCCCTCTTCCGGAACTACCGCGGTGGCATCCGCCGATTATGATATTCATGGAACCACGTCAAGCGCTACAGTCCGGTCTCCGGCTGTCCGAGATTCTTCGTCATCCCGCAGCCATTCACACCATAGAGCGCCGTCTAGACAGACTTCGGACCAGTTGAGACCCGATATGTCTATGCCCGAGATACAAGTCAATAGCCCCGATCAGAACAACGGCGGTTCTAAGGCCCGCACTCGCGTACAGGACAACGGTATCGACTCTGGTGGTTCCAGTAGTGCGTCGCCACCTCGCAAACCGCGTCACCGTCGTCGAGCCGCAAGTACTACGACAGCGCCCTCTGCAAGTGCGAACAGTCTTACAGAGCAAGCATTGCATGATACCGCCATCTCACACGATGCACTTTATACACAGTTGAGAGATGAGAAATCCAAGAGGCTCTCGGGTCATTCCACATCTTCTACAATCGTAGAAGCTCTTGTTTATAGCAGCCCCGATCAGCCACGTCGCTGCTTGAGGCACGCTGGGAGGAATCTGGCGCTCAGGAATGATTCCAAAGACTCAAGGTCCCGGCGATCCTCCTCGGACTCCTACGAATCCGTCCATGAACATCGCTTGCGTCACCAAAGGTCCCCATTGCCTGGGAGAGGATTCGGATCAGGCCGTCTTACGTCTAATCAGGTACAAGCGAGAGCTGCATCAAATCCGGAGACTATGAAGGGCTTCGACTGGCCGCCACCCTACTCCTCCAATCCCGATACCGCGCGTTTTGCATTGAGAAGTCTCTCCAAACCTGCTAAGCGCTTGTCACATCCTAATCAGCAGGCAGCAATGCCCGAGCTCGAACATCTTCGGCTTACTGGCTCTCACGAGATAAGCCATAATGACAGACATACTAAGGCTTTCGCAGCTGCAAGACGTGACAGCTCGCCAAAACAGCAAGACGTGAGAGTTGACAGTAGCGCGTTGAAGCTGGCGGGTCGTCAAGTCAGTGAGCAGACTGAGCATAGCTGGCCATTGCCGAGGGCTACAGACTTTCAAGAGCACCACCGGCGTAATGATAGTGTCCAAACAGGGGATGAGAAGTTGCATGGACTACATCTTATACGTACCTTTTCCGGACCGGAAGCTGCACCTCCAATATCTTCTCCCCGACGAGGATCTCTCGAGCCGCGTATGGATTTGGGTCTTGCCCGTCACCACTTCTCAAGCGTCACCCCACTTTCAGATCACTCTGTGTGGTCAGATCGTACACACAATGCAGAAGTCAACATGGCGACCGCTGTCAATATCTATCCGCACAACAATGAGTCGGTGCTGATTATTCAGCAGCCCGGTAACGGTAGCAGTCAACGAATGTCCGAGAGGGAGCAAGACTTGGTCAGCCCGGACTCGTCACCGTCGAAGCATGACCAAGCGCGTCAGCATCCCAGATTCGAGGCATTCCTCCAAGAGAGCACTCCGCCACCCTCGAATCTGGAAGGGCCACGCCCTCATGGCGTAGACAGTCCTTTGCTGAACCCCAGAGCTGCTCCTGAGCCTCCTGTTTTCAAATTCATTCCACCAACCCCCAATGACGACGAAGACCGCCAGCTCGGTTCCGAGATGCATGATGACGAGCCCTTCTCGATGAATGCAACCGAGGCGCTCCCGATCCGAAAGAAGTCCTTACGCGAGAAAGCCGTGGAGCACAGTTCCGCGATCCTCGACGCCATCCTCCTGCGCCAACCCACCACCCGTACCTACCGCCGCTACTCCCTCTCCGGGCCAATGGACGAAGCCCGCCGCCGCAATCTTCATCCCTTCTGGCGTCCACGTGGCTTCTGGGACGACTTCGACTCGGACGACGAAGACTACGACGACGAGCCGCTGGAGTCCGGCGATGTCGAGCCCCTCCCTCGAGGAGGCGACACCTCTGATATCCCCGAGTCTGAAACCGCCGTCCGCCGCCACAATAGCAAGCGCGACAGCTTCCCGCGCAAGATGTCGAAGCGTCTCCCCGGCTTCCGCGGTTCAGGCGGGTTTCTCATCGGCAACAGTCTCGGCATCGGGCGGCACGGGACGAACAATCGCCGGCCGCATATTTCGCTGCCGCTGAACCTCGTGCAGGCCACGCCATTGAGGCCAAGGACGTCGCAGCTGTCGTCGTCATCGAGGCGCGGGACGAGAGGCGTGCCAAGTAAAGAGAGCCTTGTGAGGACGACGGGTGGGGTGGCGAAGATGTACCGTGTGCCCGGGTTTGGGGCGGTGCAGCTGCGTGGCTTGAAGGGGATAACGGAGTCAATCAAGGGCGTGCGCAGGACGCATGCTGAACGGGCGGCGGAGAGGAGGAGGGAGAGGTTGAGGGGGATGATTGGGGTTAGAATTACGCATGGGGCTTGATCCAGCATAGCACCATATGGAAAGTATGGGCTTTGGGTTGGTGATGAATCAGTGGAGAGGGAGCTGAGTGTACGTTGCATTGGAGGAAAGTCTGGATGGATGGATGGGCAGGCTTTCATTTTCACGGGATTGAATGAGATATGACCACGATGCCATGGGTTTTTTCTTCATGAAGGGTACTTGTTTTCGTTCAGATATACCTTAGCATTGGGATTTTCGTATGCACAAGATTGGAATTGTGTCAACATCATAATGTCTTGCTCGTCGGTTTCGTGTCGGTCATTAGGTCGTGCGGTCATCAGATCATGCCCCTATTCGAATCGGGTGATTCGTGTTACCTTCTGACCGTCAATCAGGACAAATGCTTCCCATGCCTCAGCGCACGTGAGTGTGCGTCTTCCGCCGCTGAAGAGCTTCGTCGTCAAGGAAGTACAGTGGCGCCGCGGACGAGTCAAAGGCTACCATTGCCAGAGTTCTGGAGCTCCGAGCTGTCGTGATGGATATGGTCAGGTCGCCTCGAGCAACTCGAGCAAGCTCTGTGTGTGCCGCAGCGGGATTGATCTGCCTACACTTTCGGAGCTGAAGCTTGAGGGGCGGGATTGCGTTGGTTGTTGGAGCCATTCAGGGCAAATGATGATATTGAGGGTTACACGGAGGAGGGGATCTTATGCGCGTCGATATGCAGGGCGGTTGATGGTGATCCTCTGTGATATTTTCATGTGATTGTCGCCCATGCTCTGGTGTGCAGTTCTGACCGAGCCCGAGGCTGAGATGCTTGATGACGTCGTCGTGGAATGAAGCTGTCATTTTCTGGGGATATGGGAAATTTTTGGGAGAGCTCACGTTTTGTTTCAAACAACATCACGTCCAGAGTATCAGCTTCTGCAATTGTTGCGATACACGCTTTCAGATTCATCTGCGACTTTCTAGACTCTGTCTCCATCGTCGGCGCAACGACCTGCTTCTCTAATATCTAATTCTCTCGCATCCACATAGCCATCACAATGGCCTCCACCGTCAGCACGCGGCGCATCACCGCCGCCCTTCTCTCCAGCACACGCTCCCTGCCCGTAAGGCATCTCCGCCCCTCGCACTTCCGCCCCTTCTCCCACAACCCTCATCACTATCGTCCCCCTTCCGCCCCACCGAAGTCCCGCGATCGCGGCCCTCCAAGCAAAGAAGACACGCAGACGGACTTCGGCAAGATGGACATCTTCACGAACACGCCTCCTCCTTCCACCGCCGTCGACGCTTGTTATTCTGATGGCTTCCTGCTCGACTCGGGCCTGCAAATCTCCGGTAGCGGGGTGCTGCTAGTCGGTGGGGAGGCGCTACGGTGGTCGCCGTGGCAG